CCCACATCCACACCCACACCCACACCCACACCCACACCCACACCCACCCACACCCACACACACCCTTTTCTTTTTCTTGAATCATATGATGGTTGGAAGGCCAGATGGTGATACTGGCAGGAAATTCTGCGTGGGTGTGGGTGTGGGTGTTAATCTTCCATTTATTCATACCATTACCCGTACTCACACTCACACCGATACCCACAGCCTCAATTAAATGGAATGATTGTTATGTAGCTAGTTTCATTTAGATGAAGAAATTCAATTATATACTTATAAATCGTATTTTGGTTACTGAAACGTTAGTTGCATTTGTATGCACAGTCAGAAAATCTGTTTTTCTCAAATTTCATAGTTCGTCTGTTTCATTGGAAATCCTTGAATGTGTCACGGAAAATTTTCTCTTCTCTTTCCTCAGTTTTTGCGTTTCTTGGCCACTGTGCTGCAATTTTAAACTCCTCCCAACAACCTCTGGTAATGTTCGCCACCCATTCTCGGGATATAGGTGGCTCACCATCAAGGTATTTATCCAGTTCCGCCCATAAAGCTGCTGCAGTGCATATGCGCTGTTGCTGGAGATCATTTTTCGGCGGTTCTGTGTATAATGTTGTCCCACAAATAATTTGACGAAATTGGAAACTTTTCTCCAGATGAGATCTATTCTTTTGTAGCCATTTTTCCATTGGTTTGTCACCTTCGCACCCATTGACAAATAAAATTGCGGGCATTTTTTTCTTTAGAAGACATTCGTAAACAATGAAGTAGTTTCGCTCAAAATCTTGAATGATGCGACCTTTTGACATGACGAATATAACACAACTGAACCTACAGGTAGTCGTTTTAACAAAATGAATTAACTGATTCAATATTTCTAGTCGCCTTTGCGTGCCATCATTATGAGAGTTCTCGTTGAATCCAGCAGTGTCAACTATCTCTATAGGAATTTCGCGGTGCCGAATATTGTAGAGAGAGCAGTTGAAAGTGCAACTGTTTATCATGTCATCTACATTAGCCACGACTTTTCCGGCCAATAGATTGACTAGACTACTTTTCCCAACACCGGTGGTACCCACGACGAGTATTCGTTCGATGTAGCCTCGACTTTTAATTCGTTGGATGAACAATGGTGCGATTTCACCGCAGCGACTGTAATAATCGGTCAGTATTAAATTGCGACGTTTACTATCATCAAGATTCACCGATTCACTAGCCACTCGAACCAGACTTTGTGCGAACATTTTTTCGTTCTCTTCCTCTTTTGTCTTCTCAATCTGAATGGCTACAAAGTACAAGTCATTTAATGCTGCTTTTCTTTGATCGCTATCAAAGATGCTTTGTCAGAAAGATAGAAAGGTAAAACTTGTGCCGAAGGTTTTTGAATCTTTTTCTTACTTATTAAAAACATCTAAGAAATTCATCAGATTACCATGATACACAGTTTTCATCGCGTTACAAAGAAAATTTTTCTTGATTGTACATGTTTAATTAATATAGGAGAGCTACACAAGGAACTCGAAAATCAATGATTTTACTGATAACGGTAAACAGATTGAGGAAATGGGTGGATGAAAACAATATTTAGATCGGTACCAGTGCTCCTATCATCATAATAAGTATATTGGTAGTTTTGATTATTCGTAGGATATCTCATGCATGCAACAAAGATAAAAGCGGCAATACAATGTGATCGCATAGTAATTATAAAGATAATAAGCAAGGTGGATTTGAGTGGATATATGAATGTTTTGTTACATACCTATATCTAAAGCCCATTTGGATTACATGTCTTCGAAGAATATCCCCGGAAACTCATTTGTGTCCTATGGTAAGAGATAGAGAGATAGAGAGGTATAGGAGATATAGAAGATACAGATATCTAGAAGGCATAGTAAACAATTATTTATTTCTTATGATTGATATTTTCGAGGAAGGCTCGGTAAGTGGCACCAATATATTTTATAAATATATGTTTAAATTCAAACACTATTGAATGATTATCTGTATCAGTTAATCTATATCATCTATATCTTCTACCCTTGGGTATAATTGAGTTTTTCGGGATATTCTAAGAAGACATTATGTGCACATTTGACATAGGCATTGGTATCGCAACATTTGGGCTGCAAGCATTTGATGAGGGCACAACTTTTGAGTCTCTTACCCTCTAATTCTTCAACATTTGAAGCTCTAACAGGTAGGTAGTATCAAAATGGAAACACATTACATGTGATCTATTTGGAATGTCCTTGTGATTATGGAATACATGCGTGTACATTGTGAACGTTGAATATTTATATATTGTGGGTAGGTGCGGATGTCAGGTTTGGGGGCTGATTGCAGGGTATCCTTGTAGGGCTTGTGGAGTGGGTTTACCAGAGTAGAAGAAATGATTTACAACTACATTCAATCCCACCCACCCTCTTTCATACCTACATCCGTATTAACACTTACACCCATATCAACACCTACACCCATATTAGGGGTGGGAAGTTACCGTTCCCAGACCGTTACCCGGTAACGGTAACGGTAACGGTTGCTATGAAAGGAGTTACCAGTTACCCGAGTAACTGGTAACGGTCCCGTTACCAGTTACTTTTTCCTGGTAACTTCTCAAAAAGACGAAATATCACTTCTATTCGACCGAATATGGACAACAAATCAATAAAAAAAATTTGGAGTTACCAGTTACCCTGGTAACTGTTACTCGTTACCAGTTACCTGGTAACGGGTCAACTTAAAAAATAATACAATGACAAAATTCTCTCGACGGGAAGGGGTAATTCGTCTTTTTTGAGAAGTTACCAGGAAAAGTAACTGGTATCGGGACCGTTACCAGTTACCCAGGTAACGGTAACTTCCCACCCCTAACCCATATCCACACCCACGCCCGTGTAATTTTCATAGACTAGAGCGTTGCTTGTCTATGAGTGACTAGGGTCAATAAAAGTTCAAATAAAAGATTGCAATTCAAACTGAACTGCAGTATAGTAGGGTAGAGCTTGATCGAAATCAAACTTCGAATTATAAGTTCGATGGAGTGTGAGTATAAATGTTCAGGTTTAATCTATAGTCGGGTCTTCGGTTTCAATGTAAAATCGAACACAATCTTGTTAAACTCAGTATTAAAAATCGAAGTTGGGCTCCGGGTTAGTACATGCTGATTCAAAAGTACCTGCTGAAGCTCCTAAAATACTACAGGTAGCATTGGCATGAATCTGGTAAAGGTTGAATTGAGTACTGATATTAGAACTAAGAAATACCGCTCACTTAATTATAAGACTTTGGCATGAAATAACTATAATGAAAAGAATATTGAAGTAGCAATCTCAATCGTGAATGCTAATGCAAATGCTAAAGGAACCCCATGTTCTACACCCAAACCCATATACACATTCACAAAAACAGTGACAATTATGTCCAGATCCACACACACTCATGTTAAATTCATATGTCCAAGGATAATATGACGAGAACCTCAGAAATCAGCAGCTTAAATTGCAGGAGCTCTAATGTTATGAAGCTTATTTTTGAAAGCTCGAGTGTCGAGGCTAAGATGTTAGAGGCTCAAATTTCCTGTTGTCTACTCACAGTCTATGCCACTCTATACATCCACAATTATGTCATAGTCCACACATCTACATCCACACATACAAGCGCACCCAGACTTTACACTCACCCATAACTACTCACTGCGATGTATTCATCGAAGATAATATTTATAATCACCTGTAGGAAATAAGGCGAGATCGGATGAGGGTGGTTCGATCAGCACACGAGTTGGCATTTGTTCTTTTAAGTGAATTATCGATAGACTATCACATGGGTTGAACTTGCTCTCCACTTTCAAATATGTTCCAGGCATGAGCAGAATTTCGTTTTCCTCCTTGTGACAGGAGTAGTTTCGAATACTTTTCCCCGACATGCATTCAATACAGAACATAGTTTTCTTATCTGCGTTGCCAAGGAAACTTTCTAGAACTTGGACAGTTTTGGTGCATGAACTAAAACCCCACCAGGTTACGTGTTTCTCAATTTGAAACTTGTCACTAAGATCACCTTTTATACCACGCCAAATAGTGCCCTGAATCGATGGTAGTTTGTACAAGCCAGTGAGAAACAGCTTAAGATATGGAAACCATGGTTCGAGAGCATCCCGTTTCCCAGAACGAAGTACGTCATTCAGGCGAGAATATAAACTGGAATCTTCATATCCCATAGTATACAGCCGTATTGCAGCTGCTTCTTCACATGTTATATTAAAGTCGTCAGACACTCGAGTATCTGATCTATATCCTACACCGCGTGCTGCTAGCACCACCATCTTATTGACATCGGTGAACATTAAGTGAAGAGGTGTGACAGCTTCTTTGAGGGGCACTAATTGCTCTTTTTCATATCCTATGATAGGATTTTGATGTTCTACAGATTCTTTGAAAACGTCGAGAAAGCGATTGTTTGCATTATCTACCATTCTACTGAGAGTTGGTCACAAAAGATGAAGCGCCTTATCACGAAAGAACAACGCACTGTCCAAAACACAATCAACTACTTCAGCGCTTTTGCAAACAACTTTTCTGACGTTTATTTTTCCCTTTATAGTCGATAGCTTCACGAAAAACAAGTTGTTTGTTCCATATCTTGAATGTAAGTAGAGTTTCTTCAAAATAATGCGTGCAACCAACGCGGCAAACAACATTGTAATTGCGCTTTACTCCCTCACGTTAACATTTTTTTTTCGCTTTCTGCCAAAAGTAACACAAATTGGAAGATAAGCATGTAAAGTAAGCATGGCAATGTCTTGTTTTTTTGCAACCACTGCAATCCAAAGGACTTTTTTTGTGAATCTTTTACTTTATTTACATATCATTTCACGCTACCATTAGTTTTCTTTGTACTACCTGTGGCGATGGGAAATGATGCTTCCAAAACAAACGATATCAAAACAAAACGAGTTATGATAATAGGTTCAACGGGTGAGGGCAAAAGTAGTCTTGTTAATATGATTATACGTAAGGACGCAGCTAAAGTCGATGACGGTGTCGACGGATGTACATTTGAATGTGAAGCTTACAAAACAGAACATAACAGCAAAAGCTACTCGATCATCGATACGCTGGGTTTAGACGGATCCGAACAAGGAGCAACACCACACTGGAAAGCTGTGAAACAGCTTGTGAAGTTCGTAAAATCGAATAGTGACGGCTTTAACTTATTCATCTTTGTTATGCGAAAAGGTCGCAAGAAAGCTTCCTTCGACTACAACCACAATCTATTTTTCAATACACTTTTTGAAACAGATATACCTGCCATTCTCTTCATATCTGGTTGTGAACGTGACGAACCATTGGATAAATGGATCACAATCAAAAGTAATGCTGACGGATTCAGAAAACACAAATTCGCAAACATATTATGTGGAACCACTTTAAGTGACCCTATTTATCAATCCGAGTGGAATCTGACGTATCAGGAAGTCTGGAAAGCTATAGAATCAACACAATTGTCTCGGCCACGCACAGTAAGGGTACGATTGAGTATTATTGAAAGAGCCGTTAACATTATTTTTGAATTCTTTCATAAGGAGCAGCCCTTTGCTCTGCCACTGACCAATTCTACTAGGCTAGAAAGAGACTTATGGAACATGGGCTTTACTGATACAATGGTCAAAGATATTATTAATTCAATCAAACCTGATGAAGAAATTCAAGAGATTAATAAATGAGATCTAATCACACGACAGAGACACATACTGAATCCTCCAATTCTGGTGCATCCGAACAGATGCTACCGGATACTACTGACTGTGGATATGGGTGTGGGCGTAGGCATGTGCGATGTGTAGAGGATTATATGAGTAACAACTACACTAACATCCTAACTGTTAAAATTTGTTTTATTTATGGTCTGAGTTCCTTCTCGAGATTTTGAGGCGAATGGCGGTGATCAACGATGCTGATTCCGAATATGCGACGCTTATTCAGCGAGAACACATTCTTCAAAACTCATTTGCGGTAATATTTAGTTGTCTGGTGTGGGTGTGGGTGTGGTTGTGGGTGCAGTGTGGGTGTGGGTGTGGGTGTGTCGGTGTGGGTGGTGTGTGGGTGTGGGTGGGGTGTCGGGGTAGGTGTGGGTATGGGTGTGGGTGGGCCTACGTTGATGGGATGGACACGGGGGGCGGC